TCCTAAAAATGTATTTTATTTTTATTGCTTGCTTATTCTTCCAGTTGAATATTAGACTTCTTATGATAAGTTTCTTTCCCATACTCCATCCTTATTGGAATTAAATTTACAAATCAATTTCAAGTGACATCTTCACCTAATTGAGTTATCCAATACAGAAGCATGGCACTGCTCTTTATTAAAAATCTTCTTTTAGGAATTCCCTGGTGGTCCAGTGGTTAAGACTCCAAGCTCCCAATGCAGGGGGCCCAGGTTTGATTCCTGGTCAGGGAACTAGATCCCACATGCCACAACTAAAAGATCCTGCGTGTCGCAATGAAGGCCCGGCATAGCCAAATAAATAAATTTTTTTAAATAAAAATCTTCTATATGTCTGTATAAATTTTGTGTTTTCTTCATATAGATCAACACATTCAAATTAAGTTGATTCCTAAGTATAATCTTCTGTGGACAACTGGTTCCAGACCCATTGCAGATACCAAAATCCAACAAGACTCAAGTCCCAGAGCTGGCTCTCCCTATCAGCAGATTTAACCAACCATGCATTGTGTAGCACTGCATGTATTGATATTTATTGAAAAGAAATTTGAGTATAAATGTATCTGCACAGTTCAAACCAGTGTTGTTCAAGGGTTAAAAGTTTATATTTTCCTGCTTATATTTTTATTTTTTTTCATTATTTCAAACTAGCTGTTGCTACACACATAAAAATAAACACTTTCGTAAAAAATCAAAACGAGGGCTTCCCTGGTGGCGCAGTGGTTGAGAGTCCACCTGCCGATGCAGGGGACATGGGTTCGTGCCCCAGTCTGGGAAGATCCCACATGCCGCAGAGCGGCTAGGCCCATGAGCCATGGCCGCTGAGCCTGCATCTGGAGTCTGGCTCCGCAACGGGAGAGGTCACGACAGTGAGAGGCCCCCATAACACACACACACACACAAAATCAAAACGAACAAGTTTTTAGATAAATATTTAAAATACTGAAAATGGCTTAAATTAAGATTTCTATGTTTTAGGAAAAATTTATAAACTAATAAGTTATCTTTTTACTAACTACAATGGATTAGAAGATTTTTTTAAATGTTGACTACGTTATAGAAAGGGATAAGAAAAATCAAGTACAATTAATCAAAAATGTTTTTCAAATTCTTTACAAAAAACATCAGCACAGCTCTTAAAATAAAAAAGAAAACCAAACATTATTTTTTGAAAGAAACACAAAAATTTTAAATGTAATATATACTGCATCAGAATCCTTGTCTGATATAGGGCCCGGAATATATATTTTGAAAAAGTTTCCCAAGTAATCCTGATGACCACCCTTCAGTTAACAAAAAAAAAGTATCACATCCAGGTTAAATTTCTTATTTTAAATTCCTGTATGATCTCTCCTATAACCACAAATTTGGCACATCAAATCACTTTAGTTTCTACCAATACCATTTTTTAAATGACTGCAAGTTAATTAACTTTAGATAGAAGAACATAGTGGTGTTAATTATAACCAAAACACTAAAATATTTCCCCAATTTTATGATACTAATTTTAAGACAGTAATTTATTAACAAATTTAAGTAGGAAGTAAGACACAATCCTTTATTAAAATGAAACAAAATGTTTAAAGGATAAGAGCATAAGCATATCCATATAATCACATATGACTTTTAAAAATTATCCTTGGGCTTCCCAGGTAGCACAGTGGTTAAGAATCAGCCTGCCAATGAAGGAGACACGGGTTCGATCCCTGGTCCAGGAAGATCCCACATGCTACGGAGCAACTAAGCCCCTGCACCACAACTACTGAGCCCACGTGCCACAACTACTGTAGCCTGCACGCCTAGAGCCCATGCTCCGCAACGAGAAGCCAGTGCAATGAGAAGTCCGAGCACGGCAACGGAGAGTAGTCCCACTCCCCGTAACTAGAGAAATCCCGTGTGCAGCAACAAAGACCCAAGGCAGCCATAAGTAAATAAAAAAACAAAACAACCCCCCCCCATTACTTTAAAAAAATAAATAAAATAAAATCTATGGTTGAAAAATGTAACATGGTCCCTTTCTTATAGCTCATACTTCTCCCCCACCACAGCTTCCTATGTTCTGGCCATATTCTCATTTCAGTTCCTCTAGAGCTTCATGCACACCTTCACCCTAGGGATTCTGTGTGGACTGTTCCAGCCTGGAATGCTGTCCTACAATCGCTATTTAAATAACTGGCTCCTTCCAATCCTGTTAATCTCAGCAGGCCTTTCTTGACCACTTTATCTAAATAGGAGCCCTTTCTCCCTTCTCCAGTATTTTCCATTCCAACAAATATGGTTCATTTCCTTCCTAGAGCTTTGGATTTTATACCTTGTATATTAAACCTTATTACTTATTGTCTATCTTTCCCATCAGGTCACAAATTCCATGAGAACAGGGTCCTTTTCTGTTCTGCTAGCATTTGAGGGCTCACTATGGATTCAATGCTAACAAGTATATTATGGTATCTAGACATATGACAAGTACTTAATGTATATTCGTTGAATCAATGAACCACATAGCTTATATGACCTTGGACAAATCGCTTAAACCCTTTGGGCTTCAGGTCACTACAATGATAAATTACTTTCTAAATCTAAAATCCTATAAATATATTTTAGTACCTTCATTTGGAAAACAGAACAGTACTAGTTAGAGAAATTTTTTAAATATGTTTTCTAACTAGAATCAGCATCTTTCAGTATTTAGAGGTAGCTATGAACACAGTTATAAACATACTGCAAGCCCTCTTTTTAGTTAAACAGACAATATGGAATTCTGAAAATCATTTCTTCTACTGTGTTACACCCATCCCATCATCTGATGTATAAAAGCTATATTTATTTATTTTGTTTATTTTAACATCTTTATTGGAGTATAATTGTTTTACAATGGTGTGTTAGTTTCTGCTTTAAAACAAAGTGAATCAGCTATACATATACATGTATCCCCATATCTCCTCCGGCTTGCATCTCCCTCCCACCCTCCCTATCCCACCCCTCTAGGTGGTCATAAAGCACCGAGCTGATCTCCCTGTGCTATGCGGCTGCTTCCCACTAGCTATCTATTTTACATTTGTTAGTATATATAAGTCCATGCCACTCTCTCACTTTGCCCCAGCTTACCCTTCCCCCTCCCTATGTCCTCAAGTCCATTCTCTACGTCTGCGTCTTTATTCCTGTCCTGCCCCTAGGTTCTTCAGAACCATTTTTTTTTTTAGATTCCATATATATGTGTTAGCATACAGTATTTGTTTTTCTTTCTGACTTACTTCACTCTGTATGACAGTCTCTAGGTCCATCCACCTCACTACAAATAACTCAATTTCGTTTCTTTTTATGGCTGAGTAATATTCCATTGTATATATGTGCCACATCTTCTTTATCCATTCATCTGTTGATGGACACTTAGGTTGCTTCCATGTCCTGGCTATTGTAAATAGAGCTGCAATGAACATTGTGGGACATGACTCTTTTTGAATTACAGTTTTCTCAGGGTATATGCCCAGTAGTGGGATTGCTGGGTCGTATGGTAGTTCTATTTTTAGTTTAAAAGCTATCTTTAAAAGCAAAAGTCAAGCTGATATTCTAGCATGCAGATCAATTCAGGCCCATATTGCCTCACTTCCAGAGTATGAAGCAAAATAAAGAGGATATCACAGAAAATGATTATCTTTTTGGTGACCATGGTAATGGTAACCTTTATTAGCAAGCCCTGAATAAAACATAATGAAAAAAATAATAAAGTGCTGGAACATGATCTGAAAGAGGTCAATAACTACTTGCCAGGAAGCAAACTCACAGTACTTGCACAAGTACAGTAAGTTCTCCATTAACAACACTGGTAGAAATTGTGTCTTAGCTGATAGTCAGCATATATGTTGTTTTTCAGGAATTGTTAATTTAGAGAGAAACAGGATATAACAGGCAGTATGGCCTAATGGTTAAAGAAGACAGGCTCTTGCTCTAGACTGCGTGAGTTCGAATTCTACCTCCTTGACCTACAAGTTGTGTTTCCTTGGGAAAGTTACTTTCCTAACCTGTGGCCTCAAATCCCTCATTTATAAAATGGGGATAATATAAATACCTATGTCAAAGTTCTTTTTTTTTTTTTAAAGATTAAATAAATTAACACATCAGTGAGCAAAATTATAACTGCTCTCAAGGGTTTCTAATGGACCAAAATTATTGTATAAACAAACCTATACAATTATCAGGGCAACATATGACAGTAAAAAAATGGCTATGCTACTGCAAATTTTCAAACTAGGCCAAAAACTATCTAGATAGTTCAAGGTATAAATCAGAAACAAAGCACTTAACATGTGCTATTACTGTACTGTAAATACCAAATTCCCTAAGGAAAAAACTAGAGCTGCACTGTCCAGTTAGTTTTAATTAATTAAAAAAAATAAAATTTAAAAATCAATTCCTGGGAATTCCCTGGTGGGCCAGTGGTTAAGACTGCGTTTCCACTGCAGGGGGCCTGGGTTCAATCCCTGGTTGGGGAACTAAGATCCCATAAGCCGCGTGGCACAGCCAAAAAATTGGAAAAAAAAAAACTAACATCGTATTAAAAAAAAAAATCGATTCCTTAGTTGCACTAGCCACATTTCAAGCACTTAGTAGCTACATGTGGCTAGTGTCTCCCATATTGGACAGCACAGATGTAGAACACAGATATTATCAAAGAAATTCTATGATCAGCACTGATCTAGATGTAGCTAGATAATACAATTATGCTGAGTAAACTCAGTAATTCAAGAGCTGTAAAATTTAGGTAACAAAAAAGTTAAAAGACACAACTATTAAAAAGGAAACACTTTCAAAAGTAAAATCCAAAGGAAATAATTAAGATGTGACTATTCTCCTACTGCTTAATATATAGAAGCTACCCATCAAAAATTACCAAAAATTCTAACATGTCTAACTATGGGAACTTCATTCTTTATCCTTTAAAAAGTTAAATTCTATAATTTTACCTCTGTTCTAAGATCAGTGTTCCAATGGAGGAGGTGGCACAGGAATGCGGCAGAGTTCAAGTGTGGAATTCATTTGTTGAGACTTAAATGTTTTCCAACTCTATAAAAAATGAAAATGAAAAACTGTGAAATAGTGAGAGAGAATATCCTCAAGAATGTAATATAAAGGAGAAAGAACAATTTTGAAAAGGCATTTATAATATAGTTTATCTAATTTTAAAAATAATTGGGATTATTTTTAAGTTTTCTATAATAACTAGGCTATACTTATGTACCATTATCAAACCTATTTTAGAAGACATTAGATTTGGAAAAAAGAAGTCTGAGTTTTTGTTTCAAATTTACCATTAAATATCTGTAAAGACTTCAAGTAAGTTAGATTTTCTGGAGCCTCACCTGAAAAATCTACAAAAATGAGTACTTTCCAGCCAAAAATTGTATGAGTCCAACTTTTGAAACATATTACAGTGATCTCACACACACATACACACACACACACATGCAACAATCATTAAAATTTTAATATGCACTATAAAACCAAGCTTAAATAAGTATCAATGGCTACATTATAATTTTGGATAAGTTTCATTGACTGAAAATTTTATCATTTTGAGAAAGAACATAGAAAATGCTGTTACTTGAAATTTTGGCACAAAAAATATTAAAAATCATTTTCAAATAGATAAAAGCATACTTTTCTCATAAAGTAATAACTATTATCATGTAGTTGTTGACCACATTATATTCTACTTCTTTGATTCAAAACTTATCCCAACTTTAAAAGCTAAAACACCAAAAGAAAATTAGCATTTTAAAATATGTCCATTAAAAAAACTTTTTAATTTTTTTTGCGGTACACGGGCTTCTCACTGTTGTGGCCTCTTCCGTTGCGGAGCAACAGGCTCCAGACGCACAGGCTCAGCGCCCATGGCTCACGGGCCCAGCCGCTCTGCAGCATGTGGGATGTTCCCGGACCTGGGCACGAACCCGTGTCCCCTGCATCGGCAGGCGGACTCTCAACCACTGCCTCACCAGGGAAGCCCCAAAACATTTTTTAATACAAAGAATACTGCAATAATATTCTCTTGGAGTTAAACAACATTATCATTGTAAAGTCTCCAATGTTTTCCAAACTGAAGATGTGTCAGGACCTCCTACTCCAACCACCTCGTATATACTGGGCTATCGCATGGGATTTTTATTTCATGAGAAGTTCTGCAATGGGGAAAAAACTCGAAAAGGACTAGCAAGTTTTCTGTTAGTCTCTGGAAAGATACACAAGAAATTGGTAACACTCTGGGAAGGGGCAGCTGGTGCCAAGGAGACTGTCTTTTTGTACCTTGGGAATTTGGAACCACCAAGACAATCACCAGATTTTGAAGCAGTGCAGGCAGGCAGACTTGAGAGCTATGCTGGGAAGACTGTCTCTGACAGTCTTTCAAGGCTAAGGATACAAATACTAGGCTCTCAGTTGAGCAAAAAGCCAAAACATAACAAGAAAACCCAACAGGGAAAACGACAGGAAAACTGAGCCATTCAGAGTACGTTCTTTAACCACAACCAAAGTAACCTAGAGATCATTAACAACAATTAATAAATAAAAACCTAAAAAAACCCCAACTACCTGGAAATTTTAAATTATACTTATAAATAATCTATGGGCCAAAGAATATATTACATCCAAAATTAGGGACTTCCCTGGCAGTCCAGTGGTTAAGACTCCACACTCCCAATGCAGGGGGCACAGATTTGATCCCTGGTCGGGAAACTAAGATCCCACATGCTGCATAGCACAGCCAAAAAAACCCAAAAAACAACCAAAATTAGTAAAAATGCCGAACTCAGTGCTAAGAAAGATATATTAAAGCTTGTGGGATGTAGCTGTAGCCTTATTTCATATGTAGAGAGTTCTTACTTTGCATGTATTAAGCAAAGACATAGTTCCTATATGCATTTAGGAGTTTCAGTTAACCTGGTACCTTGCAAAGCTAAGATTGCCTATATTAGCAGAGAGGCTGAAAAAAAAAATCAGTGGTTTTATCTATTGACAGATAATCTATCTCTAGAGGTCAGAGAGGATAGCAAATGAGTGAAACAGAAAACAAGCACACAATAGAGGGAAAAAATCAACAAAGTCAAAAGTTGGTTCCTTGAAAAAAAAAAAAAAGTTGGTTCTTTGGAACTTCCCTGGTGGTCTAATGGTTAAGAATCCACCTTCCAATGCAGTAGATGTGGTTTCGATCCCTGGTCAAGGAACTAAGATCCCACAGGCCATGGGGCAACTAAGCCTGTGCGCTCTAGAGCCTGAGCGCCACAACCAGAGAGAAGTCCGTGCACACCGCAACAGAAGATCCTGCATGCCGCAACAAAGGCCCCGCATGCCGCAACTAAGACCTGACGCAGCCAAATAAACTATAAAATATTTTTTTAAAAAGTTGGTTCTTTGAAAAGATTAATAAAATTGACAAACCCCTAGTAATACTTATTAGAGAAAACACAAATTACTATGACATTTTTAGACATCGAAAAGACAAGAAGTTATGATAAGCTTTATGCCAATAAATGTGACACTTGGCATGAAATGAACACATTTCTTGAAAAATACAAATAACCAACACTGAAAGATACAGAATATCCATACAGCATCATGGATATTAAAGAAATGTAATCTATCATTAAAAATCTTTCCATAAAGAAAATCTCAAGTGCAGATAGTTTCACCAGTGGATTTTTCCAAACAGTTAAGGAGGAAACAACACCAAGATTGTACAAGTGTCACAGTCAATGATAAAATATTGAAAACTTACTTTCTGAGGTTGAAAACAAGAAAGAGGGACTTCACTAGAGGTCCAGGGGTTAAGACTCCACGCTTCCACTGCAGGGGGCGCTGGTTTGATCCCTGGTCAGGGAACTAATATCCCGCATGTCAAAAAAAAAAAAAAAAAAAAAAGAAGAAGAAGAAAGAGATAACCATTATCACCACTTCTATTCAACACTGTGCTGGAGGGCCTAGCTACTATAGCAAGTCGAGAAAAAGATATAAGAATAATAACCAGAAAAGAAAAAGGGTCATTATTTAGAGATGATATTGTTATTAATAGACAATATAAATATGTACCAAGAAAATTCAGAAGAGTCTACAGAATAATTATTAGAATTAATAAGTGAATTTATCTAGGTTTCTGGATAAAAGGCTAATATATAAAAATCAATTATACTTCTGTAAACTAGTGTTTTTTAAAAACACAACTTCGGGCTTCCCTGGCGCAGTGGTTAACAATTTGCCTGCCAATGCACGGGACATGGGTTCCAGCCCTGGTCTGGGAAGATCCCATATGCCGTGGCGCAACTGAGCCCATGCACCACAACTACTGAGTCTGTGCTCTAGAGCCCACGAGCCACAACTACTGAGCCCACATGCCACAACTACTGAAGCCCACGCACCTAGAGCCCGTGCTCTGCAACAAGAGAAGCCACCACAATGAGAAGCCCGCGCACCACAATGAAGAGTGGCCGCCACTCGCCGCAACCAGAGAAAAGACCGCGCACAGCAGCGAAGACCCAACACAGCCAAAAACAATAAGTAAATAAAATAAAAGAATCAAATAAATAAATAAAAACACAACTTCCAACAGCATTTTTTTAAAAAAGAAAGAAATCTAACAAAAGATGTGCAAGACCACTACACTGAAAACAAGAAAACATTTTTGAGAGAATTTAAGGGTCTAAATAAATTGAAGGACACACCATGTTCACAGGTTGAAGACTCATAGTAAAAATGTCAATTCTCCCCCAACTGATTTCTAGTTCCAAAGCTATCATAATCAAAATCCCACTCTTCTCCTTTTAAAGAGAAATTGACAAGCTGATTCTGAAATCCCTAGGGAACTACAAGGAGCCAAGAATAGTCAAAGCAACCTTGAAAAACAACAAAAATTGGAGGACTATACTGTAAATTATTAAGATCTGTTATAAAGCCATAGTAATTAACTGTACAAGTACAGTAACTAAAACTTATCAGTGAAAAAATAGAGCCTAGAAAGTCACACACAAATAAGACTACTTTATTTATGACAAAGGCAAATTGCAGTGCAGTTAGGAAAAGACATTCTTTTAAACAAAAGACGCTGGGTCAACTGGATATCCCTATAGAAAATAATGAGTGTATCACGATCTCTAACTTTACACAACTCAACAAAAGTAAATTCCAAATAGAATGCAGGTCTAAATGTGAAAGTAAACAAACAAAAAACCATAGCAAAACATCTTTATGTCCTTGAAGCAGACAAATATTTTTTAAGCAAACACAAAAAACACTAACCATAACCATAACAACAACGATAAACTGGACTGTATCAAACCTGTCATCAAAAGAAACTGAGAGTGAAAAGGCAAGCCAAAGACCAGAAGAAATCAACAATACCTACACCCGATACCTAGAGAGAGATGTGACTGCTTGGTTCGGGGGTAGGGCAGGAAAATTGTAAGATCCATAACTTCTCCAGGACAGGGAGGACGTCTCAGATGTATCTGTATTCCTAGTTCCTGGGACAGGGCTTAGCACAGTTAGCACTTAGTTCATGACTATTGAGTGAAGGGCCTAACAGCAACAAGCAGTCAGTCAGCGGCAGACTCAGCTGAGGAGACAGGCAGCAAGTATGGTAAAGACTACTAGTTCCCATCTGATAGAGATCCACACCTCCACTCCCAATGATCTAGTCTATACAATCAGCTAAAGCCACTTCTGACCCTCACTTATAGCTAAGTATGGCCAAATGACTAAGTTCTGGTCAATGAGATCAGAGGAAATACCGTGTAGGGGAAATTCCGTGTAGGCAATTCTAGAAAGGTTTCTTTCCTTCTTTTTTTTTTGTCATTCACATGTGGCTTGCAGGATCTTAATTCCCCAACCAGGGATTGAACTCGGACCCACGGCAGTGGAAGCATGGAGTCCTAACCACTGGACTTCCAGGGAAGTCCCTAGAAAGTTTTCTTAAAAGATGGAAGGTATGCCCCTTTTGTCCTCTGCCTTTCTTCCTCCTTCCTTCTGCCTAGATCATGGATGGATATCCAGCAACCATTCTGTGATCTTCAGAATAG